AAATAATTAATGCCATAAATAAATATCCACTATTATGGCCAATTAAATATTTATTCTCCTTGGATTAGGATCTCTTTCCTAAACCAACTGGAACTCCCACTGCAATAGAATTCCTATTGACTTGTACTGCAAGTTCCACAAAACCTCCACCAGTAGAAGCTGCGACCGCGCCGACCAGCCTCGGCTCCCGGCCCCGGTTTCTTCCTTGCTTTGTCGAGTCTCTTTGGATCTTTGTGAAGGTCCGGTCTCCAACGGTCGATCACAATACGAAAATATAATTTACAAAATTACATAAATCGATTCCTAGATCCAACGAGTGGATGTACATGCCTTCTACTAATTAATTAAACTATTCGGTCAACCCCCGGGCAATTAATACAAGCATTCATCCATAATTCCTCGACAATCTCGAGGCTTTAAAAACAAATTTAAAACCATACAACCAACCATCAATTAAGCACAAGCACATAAAAAGATGGCCATAATAGTGGATTAACTATTTCCTGCAAAACCAAGTTATACATATAATCCAATATATATATGGCTGCGCTTGAGCACACATAGACAATTAAGCAGTTTAATCCGGATCTTGTACATAACAGATTAACCTCAAGCTCTGATACCAATTGTTGGAACCCATGAGGATCTCGATATGCACAAATCACAGACAAACATTCAACATAAACCTATGCGCAGCGGATCTAAAGGTTTGATGAAGAAAACTTACTGATTAAAATTTATGTAGATCTGGCTGGCCCAGACAGTTGACCGCAAATCAAATCTTCTCGGAATCGAACAAACTTGACCAATCCAGAAAGCTGACGTCACGGAGAAGTCAACGACGTTGACCGGTCGGAAAACTGACGTTCCACGCGCTCTCACGCGCGCGAGTAAGCTCTGGCAGCTGCTCACTTCAGGCGGCGCGTGACGGCGCGTGCGGTGGCGTGCAGCGGCGATCTCGACGGCGATCTCTTCGTCTCGTCGTCCTGGTCGTCGTTGTATGGTCACTTGCTGGCTTTGGTCTCCGGTTTTGATGTATGATTGGAATCTCTATATACCTTAAGATCTTCTACTGTATTCTCAAACAGCTTTCTAGATCTTGTATCAGTGGAGCACAAGAAATAGAAGAACTCATTGGAAGAGAGAGAGAGAGGGCTGGACGCATTTCCCAAGTTATGGGATTGTTCTCATTCCT